CAGGAATGAATGGAAGCATCCAGGGTCTTCACCTGTGTATTCTCAGTTGTACTGAGATACCTATATGCATAAATTAATGTCAGTCGTGCCTGGCTCCACCTAATAACATACAGACACACACTTACACTGCTTTTCTCTTTTTTTCCATGTCCTCTAAATTAAGTAACTACATTGAGTAACCCATTGAGGCAATGACAACAACAGCAGTCAAGCTATGTTACCTCCTGAGCTGCTAAAACCCATCTAGTCAGATACTAGGGAAGCTCTGTTTCATGCAGGACACTATATCATGTTGAACTGAGAGAAGCAAAGTTCTGGACCTTCAGGCTGGGTCCTAGAAACTGGCAGCCTATTAAAGAGCAGTCCTGAAGGTATTCATGCTACGTACTAGTTGTGTTTCCTATTTTCAGATAACAAAGGAAAATAGAAACGTTCAGGCAAAGTTTACCTCTCACGGGTATAATATGTTTTAGTGCCAAATAAGCGTAGACCATGTAGCCAAACTTGCAAGATACCATAACAGTACTCAGAATTTACTCTTCTGTATCAATCCCTATTTTTTCAGGCGTTAGTTTAATTTTGTACTCCCAATAAACATGAACACTAAGAAGCAGAGCTATAACCTGGGATAAATCTGCCTTTGAAAGTAAAACAAACTTAGAAGTTACCTTCTTACATGCTGTCACAGAGCTTCCCAAACTGCTTCCCGAACTGTCTGTGCTGCTGCCTTGGTGCTCTGGGACTTCATACATCAGCGGAGATTCAAAGCTGCTGAAGAAAAAGAACAAGAAAAAAAAAAGAAACCCCCAAAACCTTTCCAGTGACTCAGCTACATAAATAACTGAAAAGATGCCAAAAATACAGTTCAGTAAAGAGATAAAAACTAACCTGGATTACAAGAAGTTCTCTATAGTCTCCTTGCTGATATTACTATTCTATTTATTATCTTAATTTTCCCTTTTTGGAAGACTATCCTCAGCTGTCATACTGTGAATACGAAATAGCAGACCAATGCCTTTTGAAGACTGAAGGATAGCACTTAGCTGCCTATAATTACGTCTGCCTGCCTTGAATGACACAGTAAAGCACGGTACTAGCTTCTTTTCATAAGCAAGCAGCTTGGAGCAGCAAATGAAATATGTGCTGCATTAATTCAGCTTGGTAGACAGCATATAAAGAACTGCTTGATGTAGTTCATCCTCCTTATTATCTGTCTAGATTAAAATGTAAAAACACAACAGGAGTGGCTGAATTCCATAATTCAGGCAGAATACCTTGATATATTGTAGGTTTAGAGCGAAGGTAAGTCATGCACGTACTCCGTTTTGTGAATCAGTTACACACAGAAGAACTGTATTTACCTGGGGACTGTACAGATGTGAAAAACAAAACCATAAAAACAAGCTCCCCCAACCAAGGTATTTGCATGTGCAGCTGGTACCACTCCACAGATCCCTTTAGGAATAACTCAGGCCAACCTTGTAAGATCTCCCTCCATTTAATAATTGAACTGTAGCAAGCTTAGTGAAGCTTCTCTCTCTAGACGTGTTGTGACACCCATTAAAGGCCATCCAGTGCTAAAGGCCTGTTTCTCCAGAAATGTATTAGGGAAAGGAGTATCCTATAGCATCTGGTCCTGCTTGCCATACTGGGTCTCTGGAGTGCTTTTGATGCATTCAAAGTCATCTATGAGAAGATGCAGAACACACATGGTAATAGATCGTAACAAGTGATCACGTTACCATGGCTTAACTCTTCTCTCATCAGCTCAGCTTGGATAACAGACCAAATGCAACTTCCTAGTCTGACCCAATTAGAAAGTAAAATGTATTTTCATAAGTCACCTTCACTGGCGCTTAAGTTAATGTTTTAAGAGGAGGTCACTTTCAGCTATTTGCCCAAATCCACAGTCAAACATAACAAGGCTATCCTCACCTCAAAGATTCATATACGTATATTTTACTTTATACTGTGTAGGAACAGGTATCGACACATCTACTTGCACTGGTAAGTAACATGGCCAATAAGGGTTTGGGCAATATATGAGGTGCTATTCCACAATTACAAAAAAAAAAAAATCAATCTATATGTGCTAGAATTAGAACAGTGAATAGAAAACATAAAACTAAGCACTTATTAATTTCACGGGGGAAATTTTATGAAATGCATCAGAGGACTGAATACAGATGTACAAATGAGACTGGTATACTGGGTTTACTTAAAGCGTGACACCACTTAATATCCTCTCAGATATCAGCATCATTTGCCTCTAGAAGGGGGATGTTATTTACAAAATACTGCTCCCTTGCTCAGATTATCTAGATTAAACCCTAATGTTTCTGGGCAGTAATTTCTCTGACATTTGACAAGGTAAAACAGCACTTTTACAGATTGTGCCTATATACTCTGTTCTTTAACAGAATGAGGGACAGTAAACATATGAAGTCATTCTGGTTTTATATCTTCATTAAAAATAAGAACATCACATTCAGCGGGTCAAATACCGTATTAAGTGAATTGCCCTCCTTGACAAGTCCACATTTAGACAAGGCGTAGCCTCTGTACTAGGTACAATTCAGTACTCCCTGAAGAAGCTGTGCACTGCCTCTTTTTACAAGACGCATCACTTCTCCAATCTAATAGTAAGTTACAAATCAAGTCTGACCTTCAGGTTGAAGTATAAGGTCCATTATTTTTTCATGCTCTTCACTGAAAGGAAGACTGAGTGACTTTGCCACTGTTTTGTCCTACGGGGAGTTGATATGTTGATAATGACTCTTTTCGCTATCACTTACAATGTGTGCAGGTAACTGAACCCATGGTTGGTGAGTCTAAAAGCAACAAAGATGAGAGTGTGGCCACTAACCGAAGGCCTTTTTGGGCTTAAATTAAACAGTACAAGTAGAATAGTAAATTAAGGCATAGCTGGAAAATATATTTAGGGAGTCATGTTCTGGAGGATTAACAAATTCGTGTTATCTCTGGGTGGTTATCTCAGCAGACTGTAGCACACTGTATGTTCCATACAGCAGTACAGTAGTCTTCCCAATCATATGTAAAGCAAAAAAGTCTGTAATATCTCCTTGATCCTTTAAAATCTGTCTTCTTCCCAAAATAAAAACCTGTTTTCATTTGCATGTATGGAAAGGCTAGTTAAAAGTATGTGACGGGTGAAATAAAAGTATACTACCATTATATGTTTTGAATGAGAAAAGACCACATCTCAGACTGAAGTTCAGGTAACTAAGAACAATTATCAATGGAGTTACTGAAATCTGGTAAACATAAAATTCTGTCATCAGCTATCCCAGTCCTCAGAGCTGTATTTCATGTTAAACTGACTACTTAGGGCATAGGTAAAATCAGCAACTGTGTTTCCCAGCACAAGGGACAATACATTCAGGAGCATTTGCAACGTTATCGGAGCTTCTTTTTTGTCTTAAGGTGCGTGGTTCCTGCTCTGTAAATGCAAAACAGAACATTTATTCTCATGCTGCATACAGTTCAAACCAAGGGTAGTGCTGTTGGTACAAACTCCAGCCTGCAGCCTTGTTTGCAAATAAGTTAATCCAGTCAGGATTCAACAGACACTGAAAAGTGGAATAATTTTAACCCAGAAATGCTAAATTATGAGAGCTATATTTGGAAACAGCTTTAGACTCCATACCCTATTTTTCAGTGAGTTTATGGCTGTGCAATTTCTAAAAGAAGTACAGAGAAGAATACGTTGGCTACCATTGATGGTCAGCCACGTGAACACCTCTAGGTATCATGCACAACAGATACGTATCAGTGGATACTAATTGATGGAAAAAGAGCACCCAGCTGAGCTTCTTCAGACTGGGCATCCAATGTCACAAAGACTCTACAACCTGAGTCTTTTTATAACGCAAGCAGGTGTGGTGTATCAGATTCTGCGTAGATACCTTCATGTTCGCAGCTCTGTCAGTCAATACGGAACTCCGCTTTGGCTTTTCACCACCTCTTTTTCAGTTATCTCATCTTATAGTAATAACAAATTTTCCTCTTCTCTTTCTTCATCCTCTGGGCTCCCTTCTAAGTCGTAGTTTTCAACACACAAGTGATGTCTGAAGAAAGAGCCTCCTCAGGCCGTTCAGCTCTGCCACCCTCATTCTGTAGCAAAGCCAGTAAGATGAACCTACTTTTCGTTAACTCCCCAGGGAAAAGTTATTCTGTCTTCCTGAAGCTGCCTGTTCTCATTAGTTCTTCAGTAACAGGAAGCTGAAAGAAACTACTGCAGAGATGCAGTAATGTCATCATCAAATGATCACTTTGCATTCATGCACTATACTCATTACTACAGCACAAAGAGTTTTTAAGATGTCTTTTCAAGATGTCTGAAGCAGACTGAAGGCTTTTCACTACCACAAGGCTGAGCAAGCTGTTGAAGACTTCAGGTCCTAATTCTCACCGTTGCTTGGCTCCCCTTTATTATGTGATGGAGAGTGCTCATCTGACCTAGATGTGGTCATCTGATTTAGAGCTATCATAGGAGGCCTATTAGGCTTAACATAGCATCTCTGTTAGAGGGTGGTTCATTTGGGGACTACAGATAGTACAGTGCTTACTAGAGAATGCAAATCTTCAGTAATATCTACTAAAAATATTCTAGTTCTCGTGGGAGAATATCACATGCACTTCCTCTTGGAAAAATTTTTCCTTTGGTGACAAAGATACTAATTTACAACGCACCTTTTGAAACTGAAGCTGGAAACCTGGACCATGATCCAGGGGTGAGAAATACGCCAATTCCAGGATAATATTTCCATTAATAAAAGAGTCACTTATTGGCCACCAGGTGCTGTCTTACCAATGTGTGAATTATGACTGACACTTTTTCCTACATAGCTAAATGCTTTTATTCAAATGAGAACAAATTTCTTGGAAATTAGAGGACGGCAGCAAATAGCCGTCAAAGGTTTATGGCACTAACTGTAACAAAAATACATCCTTTATTACAGACTAAAATGCAAAATAATAGCTTCTATTTTCCTACCTTAAATAATTCAAAAATACTGACCTTGGTGACTCAAGACTCAATCAAAAGAACACAGCTGCTCCTAAAAATAATTATCTTTGCAGATGTGGCAGATGGTGCTAAATCAACTAAGAAGAGGTAATTTAAAGAATTCCCTAGGTTATCACTACAGAAAATTAATCTTGTGAAACAATATCAGAAGCTTCAATTTCCTACCATCTTGAACAAGCATAACCAGCTTCCAAAAACTTGCTATTCAGTAATTGTTCCTCAGGAGCAAGTTCAATAAATAAGTGACCATTATATAACTTTTTTAGAACTAATTCCATTATAGCCTACTGTTTTTCATCTTTTAATTATGATCCCTAATCTCAGCATTTTGAACATACAAAACATACTGATCCATGAAAAACATAGTCTTGATCAAGTAAGCAAACTGAACAAACACTGTGAGTGTTCTCAGCGCAATTAACCTTATGCTATAGTTGGCCAGATTTTGAGTATTTTGCTAATATTGGTACTGAACATCACCATCAACAAAAAGATATAAAACTAATTTTGAAATAGAATTACATGACAAGTGAAAGTGTGGCAAAATTCTCCAGCATGTTCTTACCTCTACCCTCACGAATAAGCCCAAAAGCTACTCACAAGCTCCAAGCAAGGCTGGTGGCTGAATCCAGACCCTAAGCAAGCAGCACTTTTGAAGGGCATAAAGCATTCCAACATCATCCCTTAATCTCAAAGACCAAAGCTATTTCAAAGCAGACAGACTAGTCACTTTCTTCCTTGTGCTACCTTTCAGATTTTCTTTTAAATTTACCTTTTCATGTAAACAGGTCAACAGAGTCACTAGCAGTAAAATCTTCAGGTATAACATTGTCAAAGTTCTTATTTTAATGCATAGAATTGGTTTTGATTCACTTTGAACCATGTGTATGCTTCAATCAGAGCACAGATGGTTATTCACACAGATGCTCTATAAATACCTCAAACAAATGTCTTTCTGATTTTGCTATGGATTTGGAACCTGCGTGCAGAATATAATCACTGGCAATATCAGGGTCTAATCTTGTACGTTTTCATAGACTCGTTGCAGCCTCCC